CATCCATTTCAAATAGGACTTGTCCCGTGGACACACGAGCAATCCAACCCGTAGGATTTCCTTTTCCTCTTCCCATTCTTACTTATGTAGGTTTCCCGGTAATAGGGATATCTGCGAAAACTCTTACCCATATCTTACCATTTTTTCGGAATTTTCCGCTCATAGCACGATGGAAGTGTCCGATTATAGCCCGACGCGCTGCTTCAATGGCTCGATATGAAAGACGACCAGCTCTACAACTTTGAGTGCCATATCTTCCAAAACCAAGTTTTGTTCCGTCTGGTTTGCAACCCCTACTACATCTGCCTTTACGATATTTACTATATTTCGTACGTTTCGGATATAGCACGTCCCTTTTTTTTTTTACTATATGAAATCCACACTTTGACACCTGAGATTCCGTAACGAGTAGATACTTCCGCAGAAGCATAATCGATTTTCTGGTTAAATACATTACGAGATGTTTTTCCATACTTTCCGCATTCAGTTCTTGCTATTTCTGCGCCTTCTGATCGACCTGAACAACATATACGGATCCCCTCAACCCCTTTTTTCATTACTAATGGAATATCCTTCACTATTCTACTTAAAATGGAACGAAATGATCTTGTTTTCTTTCTAAGTTGAAAAGAGATGTCTTGAGCAATCGGAAAAGCACTTTGATAAACAGATTTGATCTTGACCGACTCAATTAAGGTATTAGTCTTTGTTCTATTAGACAACAAAGATCGCATTTTTTTCACTTCGTTCAAATAAGAGTTGTACCCGTACGGAATTCTTCTGTTTCTCAGTATGATCTCTATCATCATCTCTATTCCCTTTATCCATTCTCCTATCCTACCTAGGTCTATGAATTTATCTATAAATTCCATTACCTTATCCTTACCCATGAGGTTCCAACATTTTATCCTTAATTGACCTAGGAGTGGTTCCCCGGCATCCTCAAAAAAAAGGTGATTATACATCCCAACTCTATCCCTTGGAAAGAAAAAGGTAGCACCGAAGAAAGGAAAGAGCGAGATGGTGGTTTTTGTTGTTCCCGCGAAGCGAAGATCATTCGCCAAGCGAATGAAGTGGGTCAACCTCTTCCGATTCCGATTCCGATTTTTGGCTTCGGCCAAAGACTTTTTCTCGCTGGTCGAGCTTTCTACAAAAAAAGCGATGCGAGAACGTATTCTCTTATCTAAGCTTCTTCCCTGCGCATTCGCTCCCCCCATCGTAGATGGTTCAGCCACGCCCGGTGCCACGAAATGATTGAGAACTACGACGGGGTCGAAATGAATTTTGTTCTTTCTATTCAATAAGTATTGCATGACCGAATAATTAAAGGAGGGGCGCACTGCAGGGAGGATCCTTTTAAATAGATGACTGCGGGACTTCTTGGGGAAAAATAACTTTAAAAACTTACTTTTTCTGAAGGAGTCGTCATTTTCTATCAGGAACGCTATGTCATTTACAACCCCGGCGTCTTTCGGATGCTTGAAGGCCCCGCTGACCCGAAGTGATTTCGAAAGATTCTTCTTTATCGATGGTGATCGGTCATGGTATCCATAGCGTTGCTTCTTTTTCGGCCAAATCAAAATTTCGTTTTGCTTCTCATCTTTTTGCTTAATGGCGTCGAGCCTGATCGACTCGACTCTTTTCCCTGCCCCCGGCCTCTCACTTCGTTTCGTTCTTCTTCTGTATTGTCGCTGGAATGAAGACACCCGATCGGCCAGACTTTCCCAAATGCCCACCACCGGCCCTTCTCCTTTCCGGGTCTGGATTTTTCGCGTCGTTTCAGTCGTCGTGGTCGACGGGGAAGAAAGAAATGAATGAATGTTCTTTTGGGAAAATGTATAAGAATACACCTACCGAGACGAAAGCCAAAGGTGAGTCTCGCAGGTGGACGTATCGAACCGAAATAAGATCTCAGATTGACATCTTGATACACTAATTTACCATAATAATAAATAGAGTCAATGGTGACTCCCCAATTGGTGACATAGGGGGAATAGCCGCTTCTTTCTTGCTTTATAGAGGGGCTTCCATTCACCAACGCAGACTGAAAGTGCTCTCCGAACCGTGCTGGATAGTCACCCATCACACGGCTCTCAAACCCAACTTGTGTCCCTGGAGACAAAGTAAAAGCGCTTGATCCTTTGCCCCATACTTTGAGATGCTTATCCCCGCCGAACCCTTCAAGCAGCGACGCTGCTCGTGATAGGCTTAGCTTTAAGCCGCTATCGTTCGGTTCGAATAAAATAAGTCAAGTCCCCTCGGTCGGTTCGCTCAGGTGGTCTTCCCTTATCTTCTCTAACGTTCAGAGTTGTTCTGGTTTAAAAAAGGAGCACCGGCCGATCGCCCTGAATGAATAAGAAATGGATAGCAAAGGGAATCAATGATTCTTATTCAACCGAGTTGAAGTTAGCAACATGTCGATTACACACCGGAGGTTGGTAAGAACTGAGGGACAATGCCCCCCTAACCTAGGAATAAGTGGGCCTACCAGCGAAACTACTGGTACTGGATCGGGGGTGGGGGGGGTTGGTTTCGTGCAAGGCCTTCGCAGCAGGAAGAGGCAGTTGTCATTTGAAAGGAAAGGCCCTTCTGGTTGTATAGGGTTCCAAACCAGACTGAAGCACCCTGATTCAAAATTTCTATGTTATTAGTCAAGCGCCTAAACTTATTGAAAACTAAAGCGCTAACGCTATAAGAATTTTATAAAAATAGCAACCTTTCGCCTTATAAAAGAAATAAAAGAAAACAAGTTTACTTACTAAAAAAATAAAGCGGCAACAAGCACCTTCTTTCTCAAAGTCAAGTTTCTCGCTTCTTGCTTTAGAAAGATTGCAGCGTTAGCGCTTCTTGACTAATAACATCATAGAAAGTCAAGGCTCCTCTCCTTTTCTACGAATCTACAACTCTCTTTACTGAGCGAGACTCCATCCATATCCCTACTAGTGGTTATCTTTCAAATTTTCCATTTTATCATTTGTTTGACAGCCTAAACTAGGCTCCATTTTAGATAGGTTTTCGGTCTTAATAAAAAAAATAGGTCAGGGGCGCGTCGGAACGGTCGGTGGCTGCTTAGTCTCATCCGAGAGTCTAATCTCTTTGTACTGCTTTTTGATTTTTCAAATAAAAAAGAAGGGGGTCGATTTAGGCTCCTTCCCTTCCACTGCATAGCTGCGCTAGCAGGTACTATGAGCCCTCTGTCCCACGCATCTAACCAGCTCGCGTGGTTCACCGGTTCCACCGAAAACTCTCATTTGTTGAAGCGGAGCATAGTGCGCTTTAGGCGCCGAGCGAGAAACGTCTCTTTCTTCTTTCGTTTCGGTTTTTTCACTGATCTGAAACTTAGCACTTGTTTTCTTATTGATTCCAGGGGCGGCGGCGTTCTTGAATGAAGTCTATCCGAACCTAATTAGCACTTCTCAGATCCAACCTAGTAGTAAGCGATCCGCCAAAAGCAACCAAAAGATTCCTTGGTGAATAGGGCGAAAACTTGAACTACGCACATACATACTTTTTAAAAAAGGTAAAGCCAACAGACATATAAAAACTGGTGCTATTGCGGCTACACCTCCCGATTTGTCAGGTATACTACGAAGAATGGCATGGATCGGTAGGAAATACCATTCCGGCACAATATGAGGCGGGGTGGGCATCGGATTAGCAGGTATATAATTGTCGGGATGCCCCAAAACATTAGGAGCATAAAAAATCCAAATGGAAAAAAAGATAGCAAAAGCTACCCAACCTACTAGATCCTTTACATAAAAATAAGGGTAAAAAGAAATGTGATCCATCTCTGAATGTACACCCAATGGATTATTTGATCCATATTGATGCAATGCGGCTAGATGAAGAAGACTGGCGCCTACTAAAATAAAGGGGAGTAAATGATGAAGACTAAAAAAACGATTTAAGGTGGCATTGTCCACGGAGAAACCACCCCAAAGCCAAGTCACTATGGTATCTCCTACTACAGGTATGGCGCTAGCTAAGCTTGTAATTACTGTAGCTCCCCAAAAGCTCATCTGACCCCAAGGTGGTACGTATCCTGTAAAAGCTGTCACAATCATTAATAGGAAGATTAAAACTCCGAGACACCGAACAAATTCCCTAGGACTGCTATAACTCGCATGATATAGACCACGAAAAATATGAAGGTGAACCACAATGAGAAACATACTTGCCCCATTAGCATGCATATAACGGAGCAACCAGCCCCCTTCAACATCTCTCATAACGTGTTCTACGCTGTTGAAAGCTAGATCCACATGAGGTGTGTAATGCATAGCTAAAAAAACGCCAGTCACTATCTGAATGACTAAACAAATACCAGCTAACGAACCGAAGCCCCACCAATAACTAAGATTGCTCGGGGTTGGATAATCTATCAAATGTTGATTAAGTGTGGAGGATATAGGTTGTTTAAGAAGAGAGAATCGTTGGTTCCTTATAGTCATTTTTTAATCTTTCCTATCGTGACAACTCTGGTTCCCCCACATTGTTTTCGTTCTGGGGCCCTACTTATAATTTATATAATAAATAATTTATTATATAAAGTAGCCTTTCTTTCTTCCACCTCCGAAGGATGGAGGGGGTATACAGCGAAAGAAGCGAGCAAGGGGTCGTCCCATCCTGGGTTACTGAAGAGTCGTCCGACTGCTCGGTGACCGAATCAGAGGGGTTTTTACCGCTTTCTCTTCTCTCCAGCACTCTCGGACTGATCATCTTACTGCAACAAAGCAAGCTTAGGAATGAATCTAATGGAAATTTAGGTCTCTGTCCGCTTGGAAGATTCTTCTTTCCTCTTCGGTGAAAGAGGGCAAAGGTGTGTGGGAGAAAGAAGTCTAAAAGGAGAGAAGATTTCGTCCACCAAGCGGGTTTTTTTAGAGTGCGACCCCTAAGCAATTGGAGGTTCTCGTCCATCTCTTGGGGGTCCATATCATCTTAAAACTTTTCCTCTTCGATTAGCATAGCTAAGAATAGGATGACTCAGCGTCAGGAAAAGTCAAGTAAGTAAGCCCCCCCTTTTGCCTTGAAAGAATTTTCTTTCGCTGCGCCCTGAATCAATCAAAAAGCTTTTTTTTTTTTATTTGATTCATCCCATTTAATTTGGGCGAGAGGGAGGCTGTGAGTCACCTGGGCTACGGATTTGCTGGTTGATTCTCGAAATCACCTCTTGATAAAAAAAAAAGGCCCTCGGTCCCGACCAAAAAATGAATAGGAAGCGGGGCGGACGAGGGTCTTTCATTAAAGGGGGGAAAAGAGGGGTGGGGCTTTGTTCTGGGGGTGGGGCCGCCTTGCGCAGCTTTAGAAAGGAGAGAATTTCAGTTCAGAAAGTCACTCTCTCCAACCTTTTCTATCTATCCTTAGAAGTTGGGCGAGATAAAGTCAATATGATATTTGCGTTGGTTTTTCCAACGAAACTAAGCACTTTTTTTTCTTTATCATTCGGAAGGCTCAGTCCCACACTCTGACTTCAATGATGAGAACAACCTCCGCACTCCGGCGCTCCAATGAACAACAGTTCTCCGCCTGACTTTATTTAGTTAGAATAGTGGTCGATCCCTCGGGAGTTACATTCGTAACTTAATGTTATGTTCACGCGGTGATCTTATATCCAAGAGTACTACCCTGTACGTAGTCTATGTCTGGGGAGCATACTTGACAGGAGATAGACACAGGCGGTAGAGAGGTCCCCCACTTCGATTCCTGCCCCGTTAGCATCTCCGATCCGAGATAAGGGATTACTCCGTTAGGTCTTTTCTAGCTTAGGAGCCGGCCGGTAATGGACCTACTTACTGTGGACCAGCTGCAGAGCTAACCCTTGTTCTATTGGTTTGGCGGTTGCTACCAAGACGATTTCTTTATGCCCATCAAAGGACCTCGAGATGCTAATCCACGAAAAACGATACGAGAAATTCGAAAGAACTCATATACGGAACGAGGGCGACCCGTGGAAATACATCGGTTTCTTACTCGTGCAAAGGAACTCTTTCTTGGCAACTTGGACAACTTATAACGAAGTTTGTCCCGCATATCACTAGGAAGATCGGAATCTTTACAAAAGGCTTTATAAAGCTTTCGTCTCAATTCATATTTAGCCGCGAGCAATCTACGTTTGTGATCTCGTATATTTCACTTCTCCGACATCTCTTACTGAGTTTCTCCCTCATCTTTTTGCAAAAAGCCGCTCCACGGTAGTAAAGTCTCATCTTGTGTGTTGGCCGAAGTGACAATAGTCACATTGAACCCTCGAATATGTTCGAAGATCTCGAAATGATCTTCCAGTTCCGGGGAGAATTCGCAAAACTCCGTTTCCATCGAGAATTGAATGGAGTTTTCCCGTATTTCGACCGGAGAATCTAAAAGAGACATTACTGTCGAGATTCTGACCGAAAAATTAGACATTCCATGCCCTCGGAGAGTGCTTTGTCGTGCTAGGTCACTGACATATCCTTTGTCTTTCTTTGACCCCAAGAATGGATTGGATCGAAACGACTTTCCTGTCGAACCCCTTTTTGTCTGTATGAATTTCTGACCGCGCGGAATCTCCATAGCCAATTTTCCATTTTTTATTATGAAATCATAGGGTGCCTTTGGTACTACTCTTATTTGACACGATCCAGGAACTTCCATAACGTTGGCGTGATTCAGTTTGAGCAACGGATCCTGACGTGATACATCTTCGTAATGAAAATTGAGTGGAAACATAGTGATTGATTGATCAAAAAAAAATTCCCTCCATACAGATAGAAAGAGAGTCTTTCCTACACGGAGTAGTGAAGAACTATAGTGAGATGTGCTTGGTTGTTGACCAACAGAAAGCATGGGAAAAAGACCAAAGATATCATAGGCTCTTTTCTTCATGGGAGAGCGGTATACCTAAAAAAGCCCTTATTAAAGAAGATAGGCTTCAGTCATCGTCGAATAGGGGCTTTTAAAGAGCGTGACTCTTCTTTTTGAAAAAAGGTAAGACTCTTTATATACATACACAATTTTCAGTCTACTTTTCCACTCCACAAGGCATGCAAGCGCGGCCCTTCTCTTATATACGATACCATTCGCCATGGATGATACTCTTCAAAGAGACAATTACCTATTTTCTTGCAGCCTATTCTCCATCTAGTGTTCTGGCTCTAAACAGTTATATCCTCTTTGCAGTCCTTTCAGTCAGTTCCGATTCGGTTAGCTACTTAGGGTGAACCACACAGAGGCGATCTCGAACATCACTCTAAGAAACTCCAAAACTGGAGTTCAAGTTCACTTTACAATTTCCGTCATATCCAGTACCATCAATACCGGCAGAGGAAGGAGAGGTACTATCTCCCACCTGAACCTGACTCACGGTCGCTCCACGGGAAACCACCACTAGGAGACGAGGCAAGCCGAGGGTTTCGAGGCAGATATCGCCATGACACGGTAGTAGGGAACCCGATCCTTTTAAGCAGCACTAGAGAGGGGATAGAGACTCGAGACTTCAAACTAATGTCCTTCTTCCTCTGAGCCAGGTTCCTTGTAGAGTCTATCTACTAGAGACATTAACAGTGCTCACCCGCTTGGGAAAATTCAATACTAGAATTGAAAGCCCTCCATCGTACAGTTCGGCGGACACGGAAGAGCTAGTTCATAGGGCTCGTGCAGTCATGGGACCGACGGTGAAAAGCTCGGGATGATGATGGGGCTAACAACCGGTCCTCCAAGAAGCTAGATCTCTTGGATTAATTCTTTCCCTTGTAGCCAAGTCATACTCATTCCGTACGACGAAGGATTGGGCCTTCGAGGTCGGAACTCATCACATTACTGGGTAGATCAGTTGGGGGATAAGGGTTCTAGTTCAATAAAGGTCCTTCTCATTATATCGAATAATAAGTTAGGCCTGTAGTGCTCCAGCGATGGGGATTCTTACTTCCTTACTGGTGCTTAGAAGCCCCCCTACTTGAGATGAACATTCATATTCTTGATTCCCTCCTGGCCTGGCTTAGCTTATATATGAGAAAGACCTGCGGGTGAGCGACTACCTGTGATAGACGAATTCGCTCCTACTTCTTAACCGACCGAATCGGGGTTTTGAACCCATGTCGAAACCAGGGAGGTTGAAGACAAAATACATTCAAATCAAAGCTAAAAATAAAATTGGAAAAGATTGGGTTGTGGAGGATGATTCGAAGTTATCCATGATGTAAAAAAAAAAAAAGCGCAAGCTTAACTTAACTCGATCATGACCTTGACTTATTGGATTCAACCCACCTGAATATCTCCTTCCCTTTCATATGGATTTTCCCTAGAGCTCTTTCTATTATAATAGAATTACTATTACTGGGCCTAAAAGACTGCTGATTTGCTCCATTCCGGTTTGCTTAATTACTGGGCAGGCCTAGCCCTCTTTCTTTGGATTCAACTGAGACGAATTGCTCGTTGACAGCTTAGATCACCACGGCATCACCTTGTAACAGAACGTGCCCTCCTACCTGATATGGTGATAAACGCTGTTTTCTCTCGGTCTTCTTTTCTTCGGCCATCTTGATCTGGTTATATCAAGAGAAAGCATCCATAAAGGACAGCATCCCGTGGTGCGCTTCGATCCGAGGGGATTATCGGGCTTAGAGGTATGGATGGTCCCCACTAAGGCTTGCCTACTGCTTTGTTACCAGAACAGGATCGATTGAATCTTTTACCAGTGCCCATGCTCCTACTCCTTTGGCTGGTGCCAAATAAAAAAAAGAAGTGGAAGCTTGCCCAGTAGGCAGTTAGATGTAACCATGCTGGCAGTACTATGATAGCCTTAGAGCTTGAAGGTCTTTTTGTTGTCCCTAGGAACGTGATGCTTAGATGCGAGGTTGAGATGACGGAAAGACAGAATAGGATAAGCAGCTGTAAACAGGGCATGCCACAGCTGTCTTGGGCTATTGTCTTCTAATACAATTACAAAGTGGTAGCAAGCAGCTCTTTAAGCAGCTGGTTTGAATCGATCAAATGTGAACTATGAGACGCTTGCATTTGCCGGGAGATTTTCTGCTCTTTTTCTGTCGTCACACCAGGGATTTGCCCCTGAAGTAGAGAGTAAGGGCTGGTCTTCATCTTGTCACCTTACCTGGAGGAATTCCTTTGATCTTCGAGCCGATTCTCACGTTTAGGTTGGTCTTTCGAATGAAAGTGTCGATTGGTTTGTGTGAAGCCACCTAATTTCACTCCTTTTATGCAGCATTTCGGCTGTAAACTCTATTACCTTTCCCAGACACTGAGGTTCGCTAGCCATCTTCCATTGACGAGTTGACACCCGCCAAGTCCTTTTGTTCGACAGAAGTAAACTTCGGGCGAAACTCCTTGCCCTTTGTTTTTCTAGTGGGCTGTTGCAGAATGAGTCTATAGTTCTGGCCTTGGGAATATATTCGTCCCTGCGATGATGGCTGCCAGAAGCATCGTGGGGCTTGTCAAGGTACAGCTTTTCTGACGGATTTAAAAATGGAAAATCCAAGCTCTTTAGCTTTCCCCATCTGCTATAAACTATTCACCTATTTTTTTATAAGTCAAAATCGAAATGGAGCGTAACTCTGCTTATCAAAACTGGGATTTTAAGCGAAAGTTTGATCTTCCGGTACGCTTTCCCTAAGGTGTAAAAGACTTTTTAAATTTTAGTAGTTAACAACGTTGTCAACTCGTAACCGGGGACTATAAGTCCGCCTCTCAAGACTACTCAATCCCTGCTGTATGCCTTGCTGCTGACCTTATTGAGACAATGGGAGTGCGTCTCATTTGAATAGAAAGTCTTCCGACTGAACAAAGGGAGCAGGCTAGACACTCAAAGAATTCGATACAGCGGGGGGAATGAAGGTCCCCCGATCGGATAAGACTCTATGTTTTTATGCTGACAGGGGAAACTGGCTTGCAGAGTATGTCTTTGATGACCGAATGAACGAGAAAAAATCAAATGCAGAGGGCCACCCAAAAACGGAAGCCACCTCGGGCGCCGTGAAGCTGGCTCCTTGCTTGTCTAGCTCAGCCCTAAAATACGGAGCGGAGAAGCTGGCTTTTGCACACCGGAATCGATAAGGTAGGACTTCTTCCTCCAAAACTGTTTCGGTTCGCTCCATATATGTAGTTCGTTCTCCTCGTATGTAGCTCGTACCTTTGTTTGTAAAGTCTATCTGACTCGTTCTCTCTTGGTCGAGCTTCTATGCCCCTTTACTAAGATTAGTCAAGCCGCTAATCCCCAGTCAAACCCAGCCTCTGCTTGGAGGAAGAGATCGGTTCTATTAAGGATTCGTACCCCACCATCTGGACCTCTTCAAGAACTTTTTTTATCTATTTTCCTTTCTTTGACTTTGTATAGAGTCTGACAAGCAACTGCTCCACCTTTCCTTTCAAGTAAAGGGGTGGGACTGGGCAATAGCATGTGAAGCTAGAAGACAAGGCCCATGACCAACCCTTCCTTAGACTTTTTGGTTAGGGAGGAATCCTTTTTTGTAGTAAATTGCTCATGAGCTTTGCTTGCAACCGATGTCCGCCTTGAAAGGGCTTGCGCCATAAGTACTAAGGGAGGCTCCCTTCCGATCCAGGCTCGGTCCTTCTTTTCTTTTCTTAATGGATTGCCAAATCTTAATAGAATTTCCATGCTCTAATCAACAAAAGGAGCGACCAATGAAAAGAGAGTGACAAGTTCTAGGGCGAAGGACTAGGATCCTGGGCTTTTGAACATCAAGCTTGTGCGCATCCCTTCCTCTATTGAGTAAGTAATAAATAAATAAATAACCAGACTCTTACAAGTAAGTAAGAAATTCCCCCTCTCTCTTCATCAAATGGTAAAATAAAATCCTCTGTGGAGTTCGCTAAAGCCCTGGTTCTATCAAAGCAGACTCTTCCACCCGAGGGTTAAGAAGGGTATAGCTCAATTACCCGCTTCATCCCTCTCTCTCTCTTTTATCTAGTTATCTAGCTACTTATTTGACTGACGCAGCTACTCAATTTCTTTCTCTAGCGACTCTAGCTGCTGCTCTAACTCCTTTAGGAAAAAGTCTTGCATCTCGCCCAACTCCTACAAAGCCCACCCCCGAGGGAGAAAAGGAAAACCACCTAACTAGGCTACTTTAACCCATGGACCTTTCCTCCTTCTTTACAGTAAGGAAGGCACTCACCTTTTGTTTGACAAGCGTGACGGAAAGGTGAAAGCCATCGCAAGATGGATGCTTGCGCTTTTCTCGCTTGTTGAGTCTCGGACGCTATTCTGTCCCAGGTACCTCTACCTACCGTTTGAGATCGTTTTGGTATTCCAATCCGTCTGTCTTCTTTGTAGGACCCTCGCTCCAACCTTAAACTTAAAAAATCTTCCTCTTTTTGTTGTTTTAGGTTGGAGTGCTTTATCGAACGAAGCCATGAAAAGACCTACGTATCTCGATGGAATTGGCCAATCACCAAGGGCGATGTTAGGTTAGCATTCTTTTAGAACGAATAGAACGAACTCGAGTTCAGTTCCTTGCTCTAGCTTTCTCCCTTCTCGACCAGACGAAGGAGATATGAATTCATATCAGGCGGGTAAGGGCTTGGCTTGACTCTGTGTTCTCTCCTGGTCGGGTCGGAGGCGAAGACTGGCAAAGTTCATCATTCAGTGGTGGGGTGTTCATAGAAAAGAGGGCGTCGCCCAACGAGTGGCAGATTTGGATGGAGTCTCGCTCATAGATAGAGGAAGAGTACGCGCGCTAGCGCGCTACGGCTTACGCAGTTGATCGGATCAGATAGCCCTTCGGTTGGTTGCCCAACCGCACATAAAATTCCGATCAACAACTTGGAGGTATGGCTGAGTGGCTTAAGGCATTGGTTTGCTAAATCGACATACAAGAAGATTGTATCATGGGTTCGAATCCCATTTCCTCCGGCACGGAAGTGGAACGGGCGGGTGAAATTACGTGAGAGAAAGAACCTCTTGGTGTTGGTGGAGTCCCCCGGAGGACAGAATAGCACTACTTAGTTACTAGGAGCGGAGAGCCCGTTGCGCGTTGTTTTGACCGGCCTGCCTATCTTCTTTTTATATTAATTATAAGCAAGCTCCCTCCGGCAGTCCCTGGGCGGCTCTCGGTTCTTTAGCATGTTGGGAGAGGAGATTAGGCGGCAGTTGAAAGAGCTGCTCGAAAGCTTGACGAACGAAAAAATATAGGGCTTTCTTTTTATGAGTAAAGGGCTTTTCCCATACTAGTAAAGTGGTAAGTAAGGTAGGGCGCTATTCGATGAAGAAAAGAGACTGACTTTAGGAAAGTGGTTCAGGTAGCTCAGCTGGTTAGAGCAAAGGACTGAAAATCCTTGTGTCAGTGGTTCGAATCCACTTCTAAGCGGGCTTTGGGTCCAAAGGGGACGACAGGTAGTTTAAGAAGAGCGAGCCGGATTTTTTTAAATTCAAGATCAAGAGGAAGCCAAAAAAAAATGTGAGCGCTCCTGCACTATACGGCTTTTTGGCGTCGCCCTATCTTGCTGGAGGCAGATTTTATAAAAAAAAGCGGTTGATTACTCGGATTGGTTCTCGCGTCCCTGATTTGACCCCAAAAGGATGGGCGAGTTCGGTTCGAGTCTTCATCGATCGGGTGGATCTATATGCTGAGGGGGGTGAGAGAGGTGTAGCGCAGTCTGGTCAGCGCATCTGTTTTGGGTACAGAGGGCCATAGGTTCGAATCCTGTCACCTTGATGTGAGGTAGTAAAGACCTAAAGAGCACCCATCAACCCGTAAACTTTCGCTCTTTTAGGAAGAAGAAAATAGACCGCCCTTGATCTGGGCGGGATCTAAAGCAGCATTTCTTCCTAGGTTTTTTCTCGGGGGCAAGCCTTAGGTTCAATTCTTTCTTGCCTATAGTCATCTTACCTTCTTCTAATTCCGAGGAGTGAAACTGCATTTCAGTAGTATCTAATTCACGTAACGTAAGAAAAGAGAATCAGTCTGCATGCTTAACAGCCTTCCTTGTCTGAATCCCTTTTTATGTAAATGTAAAAAAAAAGGAGGCTCCCTCATGGGTCTTTGGGGCTATGAGCAAGAACCACATTCCTTAAAGAAAGTATACCCGAAAGCACTTTATCTAGAATGGGTCAATCAATCAGTAAGTTGCTGACATTGAAGAGATTCAAGTCGATGCTTCCACTGGCGAATTCTAGTCCTAGGTTCTCCCAATATAGTTGAGTTCCAATACCTTTTTCCCGAAAAGCAATCAGCTTAGATCGAACAATAAACATTCGGGATCCTGAAAACTACTGCCGCCACGCCCCCTGTCCATTATAGCTGACAAGATAAGCACATTGATCATGGAGTCACCATCGACTCTCAAATTGGAAATCAAGCTGAACTCGCTTAGCAGTTTGAGCCGTCTTTCAGATAAGAGGGCAGTGATCTGACCCAGGATCATGGAAAACCTGCGCTGCGCTTGAGGGAACAGAAGGCGCCACTCAGTCGTTGCTAGCGCACGATCAAGCCGAATGCGAACATTTGCTTCCCCAGGTCTGACATTACACCGTGTGAAAGGAGTTCCTTTGAAGCCCAGATCAAGAAAGCAACAATCATTTAGGAATTGTTTGAAACTCCTCGTCTGGGAAAGAGTGACTGGCCTTAGACCATCTTTCTAAGCACTAGAAGCAACCAAAAGAGGTTTCAATCACCAACAGCCAGCCAGGGAAGTTGTAATGAGAACCCTAACTGAGTAATCAGTTCCAAGACTCTTCTTCTTTTAGCCTTAATTTTATCCCCACGGACACAAGTAAGATGCCATTCATAAGACCGACCCCGAAGAGACGAGTTGACCACCAAATCCAAAAAGTATATTGATTGACCCTAAAGTTGGATAGAAAGAGAACTGTCCGTCCACAGAGCCAAACCACTTGACCGACCAACCGGGTCCACATAAACCTTATTTTTTAATCCCAAACGATTCCTCCATCTCTCCAGTTTATATTGAAAATTCAAAGTTATTTTCCTGTTTTTGGCAAATTGGATGTTCAGATGCTTATTGGGTTCCACTGTTGGTTTATCTGGAAAAGTCGGTGTGCTTTGTTGTTTGAGAATGTGAACCAGGACCCTCTTGCTATTGCCCACGGAGCTATTAGAAGTTATACTGAATGGAAGCCCAGGAGTTGCATTCTTTAATCGCCCGACCCTCCAAGACTTGAATCAGGAAGAGCTTTTATATACTATGCTGCCTTTTGCCTTGCGCTTAGGTCTTTTTTCTTTATTGCCTTCGCCTGTACAACTACATTTATTAAGGGCTTGTTTTGTCTGATCAAGCAAGCGTTTAATCTCCTCCTCGCTTACCTTTCTGGGTCTTTTTTTCAGAAGTTCTTTACTTTATGTTGATGTCATCGAAGCTACAACAATCAAGGCTGGGCCTTTTATTGCTCTTCTCTTGTCCCCTCGGGTTATTAAAGCGGTGGAACTGGAAAACTATCAATGCTTTTCTCCCTGTCTTTCCACTTATATAATTAAAAAGAAATTCATCTCTTCATCGGATACGTCTTCTTCCGTGATCCATTTCATGAATCATTAGAGTGCGCGTTGCGTGAGGAGTTAAGGGCTATTCCAGTCGATTGATCCTCCGCTTCCGATTCCTCTTCTGATTCCTCTTCCGATTCCGCTTCTGGCCGTCTCGCTCCTATCGCTTTGTTGGCTGACAGCCCCTATCGCTAATCAGAGAGAGGTAGCGAATCGAATTAAGTGGCGGCCTTGAGCTCTTCTTCTTTTAGCCCTCTTCTCTGAGTCCGCAGCTATTCCATCTGGTGGTATACTAGAGTCGATAGGCCTGCCTAAAGGCTGCTCTTATGCCTTACCCTTAAGTAAGGGCGGTGGAACTCTTATACTTCCTTTATCCGCTATCGCTATGTCATTTCGTTGGGTAAGCAGTAGAACTCGTTGCCCTTTCTTCCACGCTAGAAGTGAAAGCCCAGCCAAGTTCTTGGAGAATCTATAGTTTCTGGTGTTGGGCGAGATGGGGAGAAAACTCCACTCCTTGCTTCAGCCCTTCTTCTCCCACAGACAGACCTGGGTGGGGATCTCTACTCGAATAGAAGGCGCGAACTCATCGATGCTATGACAGCCCTTCCTTGCCTGAAAGCTGCTGTTTTCTCAGGTCGAGTTGAGGGCTTGAGCTTCTATGATTCCTGTATTCTTGCTCTTTTTTTTTTCCGGCTGTCTTCTTTCTTTAACAAAAATAAAGGCCAGTTCTTGTCTAATCGATTTAGGCTCCTTCCTCTTATTATGGTGGAGCTGCCACTGATTGACTAACCTCAGTCAGGATCTCTGATCCCTACGACATGATCTCAGGTGATCCCTCTCCATATAGTATAAAAGCTCGAGCTTCTCCACTAGCTCGATTTCACAAGTAATTGAGTGGCTGAGCTATAGCTGCTTGAATAAAAGACAGGCTTTTTCAACTCCATCGAAGCCGGAACCAGTGCTATCGGAGGGCAACCGTCGCTACTCCTTCTCCGCCGTTGACTGATCTGATGACCTTAAATGCCTAGGTCCTTCTTACATGGACTTGAAGTTCCGTGCTTGAAGTGAAGCTGGAACGAGTTCTTTCATAGCCCTATCCCGAGGATAGAAGGTTTAATTCTACTCTGCTGCTGACTTAGCTCGTCCTATCTAATCCCTTTCCTTTCTTTTTATTAAAAAAAAGGGGGCTTGAGTGGACAATTCTGTACCTATTGGTCAAGTGGTTAACGCTCCTTCTTATGCTTTTCCTTATTCGGAAATTAAAAGATTTACCTTGTTTGTTCACCGGGTTCATACTCAGAGAAGTATGCCACGTATGTCCTTCTTGGTCTCTTTCTTTGTGGCCAGGGGAAGTCGCATGAATAAGGCAAGATACAAAAGTAAGATGCCCCACTAGTCTGATTTTATTGATCACTAGCCCTTACTTACTCTCAGTCACTGATTCAAGAACGAATACCGAGACAGCCGTTCCCTTGCCGGTCTACTGCCTGATGGCTTGACATCGCTAAAGAATCAGTAATTGAAAGCAAGAGCTAAGAATCAATAAATGGAAAGAAAGTACCAATTGGATTGGCAATGTGCGCTCAAACCTGCTACTAGTCTCTGTGATCACTTATCTAATTTCAGTAACCATCATTCCGCCAGTGAATGTGTAGCGAAAGAAGGGAAAATCACTACCCTTTCTGATACATCTGACTGGTTTACTTTCAATCAATCTTCAGAGCACAGAGGGAATTACCCACACCGAACAGCATGTGTTAAGCATTTCGTTTAGGCAAATAAGAGCTCGCATAGCTTCTCTAATCTCCATCATCTTATCTAGCCTTTCTTCGGGAATAGCGGGACGGGTTCCCTATCTTACGAGCAACTATATACAATCCTAAAGGGGAAAGCTTCTCTCGAATGTATGAAGGAGAAGAGATACCCGAAGGCATATTTTCATAAGCATTTCCTACCCCGCCTGAAGCTAGCATATACCCGCCATGGCGAAGAGGCCATATGTTGCAGAGGTGTGTCGAGGCCTGCTACGCAGAGGCTCACAGGGAAGAAAGAAGGGCAAGTTCACCTTGATAGCTATAATGGACAGGGGGCATGGCGGCCGTGGTCCTTTTCCCCTGCAATGAAGGGCGGAGGATGATGATGAGGATTGACTCACTGATTAAGACGCCATGAGTAAAGATGAGTAAGAGGTTTTTAGTTCGAGTTGGAGTGGAAGCAGTGAAGGAGGCGAGTTCCCTAACCTACGCGAGCCTAAAGAGAAGAGAGTTCAGTCTACGAAGGGTTCGGGTTCTCAGTCCGGATCATGGAAAACCCACGCAGGCCCTTTCGGAGAGGTCTCACGGGGAAAGAGACAAGGAGGAAGAAGGGGGCACTACGGGAAGAGCATCCCTGCGCAACGACATAAATCGCGCCACTTGAAGTGCGTGCTTTACTTTGACTATCGGGCATGAAAATCTCGCTTTCTTTCTAGTACCGTCTGTGATCAAAGATCGTTCCGGATTCGTCGGTCAGGAGTGAATCAGGCTTTGGGGGTCGGTAAGAACCATCAACTAAACTAATAAGGCTAGCGCTTTCGACTTGGACTAAAGGGCAAAGCTCCCCCTCTGCAAGCAAGATAAGGCCTTGGTGATGGCTGAAATCCGCATGCATTTTGAAGAAAGAATGGCATCACCGACTCTCTACCATCGACCCTATTCTCTCACGTAGGATCACCAACCATGGCCCCAACCCCTTAACTAATAGATGCAAGGGTTCATGACTGGGCTAAATGCATATGGATCGGAAGAAGGATCCGGATGCCTTGCATATCGCCCACAAATGCTTTATAAAGTCTTAAGCAGAAGAAGAGGAAGAACGAAGCTTTCCACTTATCAATTCTTCTATTCGGAGGTCGTACGAATGAGGAGAGCAGCAGCTACTTCTTGACTTTCAACCTACGACCGAAGTCAAGGACTTGACTGGACAGACTGATTGAGAGACAGACCAGGCTACTTTCTATTCTATAAAGAAGAGACCTTATTTATTTCCTTATGATAGGCCCACAGGATAGAAAAGTAGATCGTTCAACTCTAGCTTCTGTTTTCAGGTCCCACATTGAATCTCAAATCGATCTTTGCTACATGCTGCTTAAGACATTGAATTCGAAGAAAGAGAGAGTGAGCAGCTGACTTGCAACCTAGGACCTAGGGGCAGGAAAGAGGATCTTACCCCAAGACT